CCTAGGCCCCAGTCACATGCTCACGCCTGTGCTTTATTTGCTGCCTCACAGCCAGTCTCTCCACGAGTCTGAGCCCCATTAGGACAGGACTTTACCCCATTAGGATAAAAACATTACGATGAGGACCCTAACTCTAACCCTTAGAATTCAAGTGAATTCATAAAAATTCACTTCAATAAATTCTAAGATAGGTTCCAAATCTGTTGCTGGGAGGAGCTTCAAATACAAATGTATCCAGCAATTTCTATAGGAATATTCATAGCAGCATTATTCATAAAAGCCAAAGGAAGGAAGCAACCCACGTGCCCATGAATGATGGATGAGCAAGATGTGTACATATAAAACAGAACATTATTTTACATGTAAAACAGAACATTATTAAGCCTTAAAAGGAAGAAAATTCTGACAGATGCTACAACATGGATAAACTTTAGAAACATTGTTTAGTGAAATGAACCATTCAAAACAAACAAATATTGTATGATTTCACTTACATTGAGATACCAAGAGTAGTCAAATTCATAGAGACACAAAGCAGAATACTGGTTGCCAGGGTCTAGAGCAGTGGTTCTCAATCTTCCTAATGCCACGACCATTTAATACAGTTCCTCATGTTGTGGCGACCCCCAACCATAAAATTATTTCGTTGCTACTTCGTAACTATAATTTTGCTACTGTTATGAGTCATAATGTAAATATCTATATGCAGGATGTATTTAGGTGACCCCTGTGAGAGGGTCGTTCAACCCCCAAAGGGGTCGCAACCCACAAGTTGAGAACCGCTGGTCTAGGGGGAGGAGGGAACAGGGAGTAACAGTTAATGGGTGCTGAGTTTCAGTCTAGAGAGAAAATGATTTCTGGAAACAGACAGTGGTGATGGTTGCACAATAATTAAAATGTACTGAGTGCCACTGAGATGTATACTTAACACTGGTTGAAATGGTGAATTGTCTGTTATGTATACTTTATCTCAATGAAAAATGAAAAAAGTGTGGTCCATGAACCAGCAGTGTCAACACCAAGGAAGATGTTAGAATGCCCAGTCTCTGGCCTTGGCCCCAGAATGCTGAATTTGAACCTCCCTTTAACAAATAACTCTAAGCATTTGGACATACCAAAGAAGCAATGCTATTGAGAATACTTATAGTTTTACAAATGGGAGAAAAAGAAAAATTCTTCTATAGCTGTCTTCCCACTCTGGTCTGACTCATACACCCACTCACCAGTCAAGCCCACAGTGGACACGGGGCCCACACGCTGCCCCTCATGCAGGCCATACAGGTGCATCTTGTACTTGCGCCCAGGCTCCAGGTCCCTCAT